CGCACACATGCATACACGCACGCACGCACACGCACACCATGCGCACATGCACACACGCACGCACGCACACATGCACACGCGCACACGCGCACACGCGCACACGCGCACGCGCACACGCGCACACGCACACGCGTGCACGCACACGCGCACACGCGCACACACACGCACAAACACACACACACGCACACACGCACACAGACACACACTTACACACACACACACACGCACGCACGCACACACACACGCACACACACACACACACACGCACACACGCACACACGCAAACGCGCACACATGCACACGCGCACGCACGCGCACGCACGCACACGCACAGACGCACATGCGCACATGCACACACGCACACACGCACACACGCACACGCGCTCACGCGCACACGCACACGCGCTCATACGCACACGCACACACGCACACACGCACATGCACACACGCACACACGCACACACGCACACACACACACACACGGAAGCACACGCACACACACACACAACACACAACACACACACACAGCACACACATACACCATACACACATACACATACACACAGACACACTTTGTAGCCCCTTGGGGAGCTCCGCGCCAGTTTCGAAACACACCCCTCACATGTTGAGCGGCCCCAAAGACCCCAGAAGCACCGTCCACATGTGGACCTCACGTCCGTGTTGGCACACCCCTACATCGAGACCCCACCCGTCGCTTGCATACGGTTAGGTTCTTCGCCAGAAGAACGTGCATAACTTAGGTCGGGCATGTCCTCCTACAGGAGGATATTGGAGGCAAGAAGTACTCAACAAATATTCAGAACTGAAGAAAAATACCAGGAACATCGTCCCCCGACATTTGTTTGACTATTTTCGGATATTCCTCCAGTAGAGGGACGTGCCCGACTCAATACTTGACTCATCAAACGAAATCGCACTGGAGAGCGAATGCAGAGCGCAAGGCGGTGCTGCACCGGCTGCTCGCCGTCCCGCGGCTGTAGCGCCGCCTCCCGGACTGCGGCGGCAACCCACCGCCTCGCTGCCTCCTGACTGGGGGGGCAGGCGGGGATGACAGGCGGAGACAGGCGGCTCCTGCTCCTCCTGCTCCTCGCCTCGCCCTGCTTCTCCTCCTCCTCCTCCTCCTCCTCCTCCTGCCTCCTCCTCCCTCTCGTCGTCCTCCTTCTCCTCCTTCTCCTCCTTTTCCTCATCCTCCTCCTCCTCCCCTCCTCCTCCTCCTCCTCCTCCTCCCCCTCCTCCTCCCCCCTCCTCCCTTCCCCCTCCACCTCCCTCTTCCTCCTCCCCCTCCTCTCTCCCCCCCTTCACTCACCTCTCCTCTCCCACGTCCTCCTCCTCGTCCTCGCCCCTCTACCTCCTCCTCCTCCTCCTCCTCCTCCTCCTCCTCCTCCTCCTCCTCCTCCTCCTCCTCCTCCCCTCCTTATCGGCGGCGCGCACAAGGGGGTAGGAGGAGGGTAGAAGGCTTCTTAGCAGCAGGCTGCTTTTTAAAGTCGCCGGCCTTGTATCTTTAGACAAGGCCCGCGCCTTCTAGGAAGCAGGGGTGCTCCTAAGAAGCCTCCCCCCCCTCCCAACTACGCCCCTCCTCCTCCTCCTCTTCCTCCTCTCCTCCTCCCCTCCTTCTCTTCTCCTTCTCCTTATCCATCTCCTTCCCTTCCTTCTCCCTCCTCCTCATTTCCTCCTCCCCCTCCTCCCTCCTCCTCCCTCCTCCTCCTCCTCTCCTCCTCCTTCTCCTCCTCCTCCTCCTCCCCCTGCTCCTCCTCCCTGCTCCTTCTCTTGCTCCCCATCTTACTGCCCGCGCCAGTAGGGGAGGCAGGAGCGCGAGCACCCGCAGCAGCCAGCAGCACGGGCGGGCTTCCGGCCGCGGCGGCGACGGCGGCGGAGCAGCGGCACTGAGCAGGGACCGAACGTCCCGGCAATCATATAGGCACACCACGACATGTTCTTGGACCCAGAAGTGTTCTAATAACAAAACAATATTCTTAGAACATCACTCCAACGTGTTGAAACAAGGCCGTCTCAGCCAGGAATGTTTGTTCCAAGAGCATCTCGTGCAGACCACAAGAGGTTCTCAGAACATTCTCTGGTGGACCTATAGGCGAGCCAGGACGCTTCGCCTCTGCTTGACGGCAGCGGCAGCTGCTGCACGCCGCAGGGCCTAGGTCGGGCATGTCCCCCTACAGGCGGATGTTTGCAGACAGACAACACAAATAGCAGAACCGTCATCAAACATAGCCAAAAAAACACATTCAAAACATCGTCCCCAGACAACGTTTGTTACTGCTTTTGAGTATTCCTCCTGTAGAGGGACACGCCCGACTTAACGCATGGGCCCCGAAGCGCTCCGCGGGGGCCCCCTCGGGCGAGGGGGGGCGGGCCGACCCCGCCTGCAGCTCCGCCAGCTCGCCCCGCTGCTGGTTCTGCAGCTGCTGCAACGCCTGGCTGGGGTTCCGGGGCGTCTCGGGTGCCCGGCGCTGCTGCCGCTTTGAGCGCGCACGTGTCTCTCGGCGAGGACCATCGAGGAGCATTCTGAATTATCGAGCAAAAAGAAAAAGCACGCACGAACCCGAAAAGATCCACGGGGAATGGACGTCCGGGCGACGGCACGGATGGGGGGTTCTTGGTGGCCCCAGACTGTACAGTCAACGCGCCTGGTCAGGACGCGCGCCTTCATCTAGCGCGCCCTTGCGCCCCGCCGTCGCACTGCTGCCGCTAGTGAGCGTTTCCTTATTCGGCTTTTCGACATTGGGCGGAAGGGGGGGGGGGGGGGGGGTCTGGCTCCGGACCTCTGCTTAGTGCGACTGCGTCCTCTGGGGGAGACTCCACCCGTTTGAAACAGGCGCCAAAAACAGCCAAGACCTACTCCTGGGGGGGGGGGCGAGGGCTCGCGCCGATCGGCAAAACAACGAATAAGAGAACGGCGACCTACTGCGCCAAAGCCCCGCCGCACGCCACAAAACTGGCACTCCTCGAGGGCACATTGGCTGCTTCCGCCGGTGGAGCCGCCTCCAGGTGTCGCCGCCGCCGCCCTTCGGAAAGGGCCTCCCGCCGACGTCCAGGTGTGACCCTCTCGATCCGATCCCGCGGACGCCAGGCCCTGCTTGGAGCGCACTGCGCGCCAGGGCTGGACCGAAAGTCGCTTTCCGTGTTGTTTTCGTTCCGCTTTTCGTTTTGCTCTGCCTGTTTTCCTGTACCTCCCTCCCAAAACGGAAAACAAGGCACAGCCGAAGTCCGGCAGAACAGCGGTTGGGTCCAGCCCTGCTGCGCGCCAACCCCTCACGGCCAACCTCCCGCCTCTTCTGCTGGATAATGGCTGGGCTGCCGCTGGCGCAGGAGGGCGCGCGTGCCTCGAGACGCTCCCCTCTCGGCTCCTCGTGCGCATGATGGAACCCACATGGCATCCAGTGGAGGTCAGTCCACAAGAAAGCGTCAACAAGAAACCCAACCCTGAGACCCAGGATGTCCACTGATACGTCACGATTTCTATCGCAAAACAATCGAAGCCCAAGAAACCCAGGGCACCCTGGAGGCAAGAAGGGTGTTTCTTGGCATGGTCCTCCACCGTACTGCGCTTCGAGACGAGCGCAGGAGCGCCCAGAATCGAGTCGATAAGTCGGATCGGCGACCGGAACAAATCGGATCGGCGAAAATCGGCAGCCAAGTCGGGAGAAGTCGAATCGGCGGAAATCGGCAGGCTTGTAGGCCAGGACTCCGTTGAGAAATCGAAATCCAAATCGGAATCCGAAGCCGAATCGAAATCGGAACCTACCGAAATCCAATCCAATCGAATCAAAGGCATCGAAATGAGCCCTGCAAGCGTGGGGGGTCCCACCCGACGAGAGTCGACCTCGCCTCGCCAGCGTGCCGCGACAAGGGCTGGGGTGCCGTCGGCGCACGGTGGCTGCCCGCGACGGGGGTCGACTCGGGGCTGTCCGCGGGGACGGCGCCGCCCCCCTACGCTCATTAGGAAACGCGGGGTGTCCAACCGCTCGGCACCCCTCGAGATCGCCAAACCCCCGCCGACGCCCTCCCCCCTCAAGGAGGGGAGGAGGAGGAGGAGGAGGAGGAGGAGGAGGAGGAGGAGGAGGAGGAGGAGGAGGAGGAGGAGGAGGAGGAGGAGGAGGGACGAGAGAGAGAGGGCGGAGGAGGGCGGAGGCGGAGAGGAGGGAGGCAGAGGGAGAGGCGGAGGCGGGGAGGAGGAGGAAGGAGAGGAGGAGGAGGAGGGGGAGGAGGAGGAGCCCCACCCCCCCTGCCCGCGCCTCGGCCAGCTCGGCGCGCAGTGGCTCCACGCCCCCCGCCACCTCCGAGGGCGGCGCCCGCCCGGGCCGTGGGAGGGTGGGCGGGCGGCAGTGTGCGGGGCCTGCCGAGGCCTCCCTGCGTCCCACCAACTGTCCCTCCCTCTCTCCTTCCCCCCCCCACAGCCCCCCGCCCTCTCCGCCTCTCCCCCCCTCCTCCTCGTCCTCCTCCTCCTCCTTCCCCTCCTCCTCCTCCTCCTCCTGCCTCTTTCTCCCCCTCGTCGTCCTCCTCCTCCTTTTCCTCCTCCTCCTCCTCCTCCTCTTCCTCCTCCTCCTCCTGTTCTTCCTCGTCCTCGTCGTCGTCGTCGTCGTAGGGGAGTCCAGCGCCGATCCGAGAAATCCGCGAGGGCCTCTGAATTTGTATGTTTATGTCATTGCTCCTTTCCCTCAAGAAATCGGCGGTGGACAAACCTCCCTTTAATAAACCTCCCCTTAGTGAAAACGGCCTGGGACCGACACCGACGGACCTGGACCCGCAAAAATGATGGCCGCGACGCCCCCTCGCGAACCGGCCAATTCCTTAATCGACGTGTCAGGGTAGGAGGTCTGTCCACCTCCGAAGAAAGGCGGGGAGTGGGTGGAGACGGGGAGTGGGTGGAGGCGTGGAAATGATTTGGCAACATGCTTCCTCTCCGTTGATTGTCTCCGATGATTTGGCAACATGCTTCCTCCGAATGTCTCCTTTCCCCTCGAGAGAGGTGGGAGTCCACAAAGGACGTACGCGCCCAGCTATGTACATGAACACGGCCCCTCGATCCGCGAGACCCGCCGAATTATACGAACATTTGCGCAATGCGTACTCTTGAAACCAGCGTGGATTCATGTACGTGTACGTCCTTTTGTCGCTCCTGAAGAAAGGCGGGAGTCTGGGTGGAGGTGTGCCGTTGGTGATCCGGTGGTGCCAGGCTCCAGGATGTGTTAGCGTCTGCCGCCTCGGCCTGCCCCGGCCCGCCAGGCGGACCGGCGCCCGGTGAGGCTTTGCAGCAGGCGCCGGCGCATGGCGGCAGTGGGTGCTCTCCAGATTCCTGATGGTCTCAGGTCGGACGTGTCCTCCTGCAGGGGGGATGGTGGACGACAAAATAAACATAGCCAGAGCACGTTCAAACAGATTCCAACGATGGTCGGAAACTCGTCCCAACACCGTGTCCTTACTGATTTTGAACATTCCTCCTGTAGAGGGACACGCCCGACTGAATGATAGCCGCTCAATTACGTATGCTTCCAGGTGGGTTCTGTATTTGTGTGACGGGCTTGCCCGCCTCTCCGCCGTAGGGGATAGACATGTCTGCGGAGGAGGTGTCCAGGCATGACCCCCAACGGAGCAAAACACCAAGAGAACTCAGGCAGGCTTGTATCCTACTGAGAGAAGGGCCTCCTGAAGCCATCGTGGAAGCGATGGCGACACGTGTTGCTCAGAGGTGTGTCGTGTCGTCCATGAGGGGGCCGTCGGTGGAATCTGCGCCTGGGGGCTCCTCCTCCTCTTCCTCCTCCTCCTCCTCCTCATCACCATCACCATCACCATCACCATCACCATCACCATCACCATCACCATCACCATCACCATCATCATCATCATCATCATCATCATCATCATCATCATCATCATCATCATCATCATCATCATCATCATCATCATCATCATCATCATCATATCATCATCATCATCATCATCATCATCATCATCATCATCATCATCGCCATCATCATCATCATCATCATCATCATCATCATCATCGTCGTCATCATCATCATGACCATCATCATCATCATCATAATCATCATCATCATCATAATCATCATCATCAGCATAATCATCATCATCAGCATCATCATCTTCATCATCAGCAGCATCATCACCATCATCATAATCATCATCATCCTCATCCTCATCCTCATCATCATCATCAGCATCATCATCATAATCCTCATCAGTATCCTCACCTATCAACATCCATCACCAGCCATCAACATCATCATCATCATCATCATCATCATAGATCATCAGCTTCACCACAACCAAAATCATAATCATCATCATCATCATCATCATCATCATCATCCTCATCCTCATCCTCATCGTCATCCTCATCCTCATCGTCATCGTCATCGTCATCGTCATCATCATCATCATCATCATCATCATCATCATCATCATCATCATCATCATTATCATCATCATCCTCATCCTCATCCTCATCCTAATCCTCATCCTCATCCTCATCCTCATGATCCTCATGATCCTCGGCACCTGCCCGCTGGCACAGACCCGGGGCATCGCCCAGGGAGGCGAACCAGGCCAGCAGCAGGAGCAGCTGGAGAGACGACCGTTGCGTGAAATAGCCCCGTCCTTCAGTTCCATCCCGCCTGCTGCCGCAGTTGGGAGGGGGCGAGGGTGATTTAGGAACAGTTCGATGATCCTGACAGCTCCGACTGACCCGAGAGCAGGTTACCGGTCGGTTCCATGTGGTGGAGGGACAGAGGTCCTTTCTCATAGCATCACCACTGCATTCGCGTTTCCCTCCCCGCCCCCCTTCCCCCCCGTTCTCTCCCCCCCTCCCTCCCCCCCTCTCCCCCTCCCGCCTCCGCCCCCCTTCTCCGCCCACCTTCCCCGTCCCCCTCCCCTGCCCCCCTCCCCCCCTCCCCCCCCTCCCCCCCCCTCCCCCTCCCCTCCCCTCCCCTCCCCTCCCTCCCCTCCACCTCCTCCTCCTCCTCCACTTCCTCCTCCTCCTCCTCCTCCTGCCTCTTCCTCCCCCTCCTCGTCGTCCTCCTCCTCCTTTTCCTCCTCCTCCTCCCTGCTCCTCCTCCTCCTCCTCCTCCCTCCTCCTCCTCCTCCTCCTCCCCATCCACTGCCCGCGCTCCCTCCCCTCGCCCGCCTCCGCCCGGGCACGGCATCGCCCGCGCCGCGAGGGGGGCCGGGCAACAGGGTGGCCTGCGCCTGCAACTCCGCGCGCAGCTCCGCGCGCAGCTGCTCCGCCGCGCGCTGCAGGGCGCCCAGCGCGTGCTCCCTCGCGCGGCGGCCGTCCTCGGAGAACGCCTCGCGGGCCGCCGTCGTCGTCGTCGTCGTCCTCCTCCTCCTCTTCCTCCTCCCTCCTCCTCCTCCTCCTCCTCCTCCCCATCCACTGCCCCGCGCCCCCCCCTCCCCTCGCCCGCCTCCTCCCCATCCACTGCCCCCTCCCCCTCCTCCTCCTCCTCCTCCTCCTCCTCCTCCTCCTCCTCCTCCTCCTCCTCCTCCTCGGGGGTGGGGGGAGGGCGGAAGGGAGGGAGGAAGGAGGGAAGGAAGGACAGAAGGATGGAAGGAAGGGCGGGGGCATGGAAGGGAGAGAGGAAGGATTTGCCAACGTGACTTCTGCGCCACAACACAGCCAAAGGACCGTCGTCCCGCTCCAGAACCATGGGCGCCGACTGCTCCGCAAAGGGCCGAAAGGAAGAAAGTAGGGCTAGGTCGGGCATGTCCTCCTGAAAGCGGGTTTTGGACGACAAAGAACGATTTGTCAAACGCATTCAAAAATAATCAAAAATAGTCGTAGTCGCCCCCAGACTTTATTATACTAGTTTTGAATATTCCTCCTGTGGAAGGACATGCCCGACTTTAAAGTATAGGGAGGAATGTCGGGAGGGATGGACGGGTTGGGGTGGTCTGGTGGGCGGCGAGAGGGAGGGCGGGCAGAAGGGAGGGCAGACGGGGAGGGGGGAGAGAGCAGGAGCAGGAGGAGGGAAGGGGCCCTGGGACACACAAATAAATACACACAAATCAAACGATTCCCCAAATTTTCCCGTATTTTCTGGGTTTTTGTCTTCCCCCCCACGTACCATATTCTCCCACATCTTCGGGGGAATCGACGATTCATTGTGTCTGTGTGCTTCTTTCCCTCCTGCAGGAGGCAGGGCAGCAGCGGCGGCACCGTCGGCGGCAGGAGCTGCTCCTCGGGAGGGCCGGGCCGCCGGAGCGCCTCCAGCGCGGCGTCGAGCCGGCGGCGCACGTCGAGCTCCGCCGCGCGCCGCAGCTCCGCCAGCTGCCCCTCCAGAGCCTGCGCGCGCCGGGCCTCTCCCAGGGCCTCCGGCTCTGTGGCGCGTCGGCCGGGAGAAGCAGGAACAGAGAGGTGAGGTCAGGAGGGCGGGTAACACAGCTTGCGTCCAGGCCCTCCCAGAGAATTCGCCGCCGGCCCAACGGGCCAGGGGCGTCCTGAGATCCCGGGTAACAGGTAAACAGTATTTCTCTCTATCTCTCTTTCTTTGTCTTTATGCATGTATGTATGTATGTATGTATGTATGTATGTATGCATGCATGCATGCATGCATGCATGCATGCATGCATGCATGCATGTACGCATGTATGCATGTATGCATGTATGCATGCATGCATGTATGCATGTATGCATGTATGCATGTGTGTATGCATGCATGCATGTATGTATGTATGTATACATGCATGCATGCATGTATGTATGTATGCATGCATGCATGCATGCGTGTATGTATGTCTGTATGTATGTGTGTATGTATGTATGTATGCATGCATGCATGCATGCATGCATGCATGTATGTATGTATGTATGTGTTGTATGCATGCATGCATGCATGTATGTAGGTATGTCTGTACGTCTGTACGCTAGTACGTTAGTATGTATATATCCTGCGCACATAAATGCATACATACATATAACTGCATACACACACGTCGTTACCAACATTTATATATGCATATATGCGTATACATATATATATGTATATATATATATATACATATGTATATGTATATGTATATGTATATATAATATGTGTGCATATATCTGTATATATATATATACATATATATATAACTATATACGTAGATACACACACTATAGACGCGCGCGCGGGGCGGCCCCTGGGAGTGCCTGGGCAACACGTACCTCGGGCAGGTCCCAGGCAAGGTCCCCCCAGAGATGGTTTTGCTCCCCGGCGCCGCCCTCGCGGCCTCCCAGAGAGCCCCAAGAAGAGCCAAAAGCCCCGCAACAAGTCATCGAGACGGTCCAAGAGAGCCCCGAGACGCCACAAGATCCCTCCCGGACACCCAAAATAGCCTCCAGACGGCCCGCGAGGGCTCCAAGAAGCCCCAAGAGGCCTCCAAGAGGCCTCAGAGGCAGAATGTATTGCTCTTCCACTCGTTTTCGAAGGATTCTCGCGTTTTCGTCTTTTCAGCTTCCCGACGCTCCAACGCGGCCCAAGAGGCCCCCAAGATCGCTCCAAGACGGCCCAAGGATCTCCAAGAGGGCCTCAAAACAGCCCAAGAGAGGCCCAAAACTGCTCAAGAGGCCTCGAAGGCGGCCGAAGAGGCCACCAAGAGGGCCCAGAAGGAGACGGGGGACCTGAGCGGCCCTTTCGAGGTTTTTGCCCGAAGAAGCCCCGCGGAGGATCCAAGAGTACCCGAAGAGGGAGATCCGAAGAGGCCCCCCAGAGGCCCCCGTGAGGCCCCAAGACGTCTCACCAGTACCTGGCCAGAACCACTTCGAGAAACCCTCCAAGAAGGTTTGTCATTGTGAGAGCAGCTGGCCCAATGGGCCAGACGCGAGATAAGATCTCCAGTGACTGATAACCGCATTCCCCGGATAATATAGGATACCCCCCTCTTCCTACTTCTCCTCCTCCTCCTCCTTGCATCACGATCATCCCCGGGTAACTCATCTTTGGTGTGCGGCGGGGAGCGGCGAGGCCGAGCTTGATGATCACCGGACGAGGTACCCATCGCAGCTGGCATCTTGGCACCACTGGGGTAGCATTATGATCAGGTAGAATCATCATACTCATCATCATCATCATCATCATCATCATCATCATCATCATCATCATCATCATCATCATCATCATCATCATCATCATCGTCATCAACGTCATCAACGTCATCACCATAGTTCAACGGTTTCGCGCTCCTCCCACCCCTCCAAGGAAGCCCCGCCTGAACGAGCAGGGTATCGGTATGCCGTATGTTTTCACAAATTGTTTGCCCTTCCCACCCCGCCTGGGAAGGCCCCGCCTGGGCAGGCCCCTATGCCCCCCCCAAGGAACCCCCGAACTGTTTCGTTCCCAGGGTTTATTACTACACGTGGACTGGAAAACAGATTCTTCATTAAGGGTTTTAATACGGATTTGATATGTCCGAACCCCTTTGTTTTTTCACCGAAGTCTGCTCCGCCCCCTCTCCCCCCCTCCCCTCCCTCCCTCCCTCCCCTGCCTCCCTCTCCCTTACTCAGACGGCGACCCCTTGCAGCCGGTTGCAGCCGTACGCCGTGCAGCCGTACACCGTACACCCGTACATCCGAGTTGCCTGGACAAAATTTCTATTATACCTCCGGAGCCCCAAACTTTATTATCCCCAGGGGATTTATATCGGGGGCACAGGGATGTTCCCTGGAGGCTCACAAAAGGGCTATCGGTCGCTCCCAAGAGACCCCCAAAATGCTCCCCAGTAGCCGCCCAGAGCGATCCGAGGAGATTCCCCAAAACAACCATGAGGACCCTGACCCAGCACCCAACCACTGCGGCAGGATGGGCCGAAGGCAATTCGAGACACCCTCCAAAAATGTCTGTCGCAATCGGATCTACATGGGAATCCGAAGAACGGGAGATCGCTAGGAAAGCTGGCAGGTGGTGTCGGAGGACGGTCTAGGACAAAAAGCAAGGGACGGAAACATAGCGGAGAAAAAATATAAAAAAGTTTTCTCTTGTTGCCTGTGATCGAATTCAGACACCGCCCCCCCCGAAACCAGGATATACAGCTTGCACCAAAAGACTCACATCTTCAGACAGACTGCCCCCGAACCGAACATCCACAGAAGACATTCCCCACGCCGGCCCAAGCTAAACACCTACATGTCTCATGCACTGCAGAGGCCCAGAACAGACCCCATCAGAGGCAGCTCAACAACAACTGATGCAGCTCGAAACTCCTCATGCACCGAGCCAAAGAACAGCCGCCGCTCAGCAACACCACGCTGGCGACGAACAAGCGGGGAACCGAGAACCGATAAAAAATAAACATGGGTTTGCAGCATGCGCGAAGCGTATTCATGAATAAACTCAGCCAGAACATATCGATAATTGAAATAGGAAGGCGCTTGAAGTAGACTGAAATCTGGAAACCCAAGTGTGCAGAGGCGGCCATTCCACACGAAACCTTCCACAAAAAACCCGGCCCTGAGCCCCCAGGACGTCCACTGATTTCTGGCGCGGGATAGTCGCCCACTCCACAGCAAAAGCATCGAAACCCAAAAAACCCGAGGCACCTTGTCGGGGGCGCGCAAACATGGATTAGCGATCCATGGATTTGGCGCGCGGTCGCCAAATCCATGGATCGGGGGAGGCGCCCGCCCCACAAGGCGGCCAGCGCCGCCTCCTTCGGCGGCGGAAATCCACGCCCCTTTTCAACCATGCTCGCGATCGCCTGACCCTGGAGGGTGTTTCTTGGCATGGGCCCCGGCGGAATTAGAGAAACCGCGGAGCGGCGGCGGGCCCGGGGGGGGGGGCGGGGGGGCTACCCTTCTCGAGGGGCGGCCGGGCAGTTCAGGAGCCCTCGCTGCTGAAGGGGCCCGGGGACACAAATTAATAGACACGAATCCCAGGATCCCCCATATTGTCCCAAAGTATCGGGGCTGCCGTCTTCCCCTCCACTCCCCATATTCTCCCAGGGATCGGCGATGAATTGTGTGTGTTTCCCAATCATCATGGGGTGTTGGGTCCTCGTTTTGAAGAGACGGCGCCCCGCGTTACTCCTCTCCTCCTTTCCCTTTTTCCTCATTTCATCATCATCCCCATCCTCGTCATCGGTATTGTAAGCATCGTCATCATCGTCATCATCGCCACGTCGTCGTCATCATCGCTGTTATCGCCGCCATCACAAACATTACCGTCAGCATCACCATCATCCTCCTCGTCAGTGCCTGCGCACCCCTCACGATGATCGCGGCCCCATAGAAAGCCCCACCGAAGGTCCCAGCGGCGCGGCCCGCATGCGTCACGCACACCCACTTCGGCACCACCCCGCACGTTTCGTGGCCCCGTAGGGAGCTCCACCGACCGCCCCATGGGCGCAGCCCGCATGCGTCACGCGCACCCATTGCGGCACACCGCTCACACGTTTCGCGGCCCCGTGGGGAGCTCCGCCGAAGGCCCCAGTGGCGCAACCCGCATGCGTCACGCACACCCACATCGGCACACCCCGCGGCCGGTTCCACCGAAGGATCCAGCGGCGCCGCCCGCGACCCCAGCGTGCCCAGCGGGACGCGGACCTCCTGAAAAAGCCCCCCTTCTTCGCGCAGGCCGCCGACAGATCTGCCCCGACGATGAACGTCAAGGACGCCGCCAAGATGATGAACCGTGCCAATCCGAAGAACACCGGTGGCATGCACGGACTGCTCCTAGTGCGCGTGGGCACGCAGTTCCAGCTCCTGGAGGCGCTGCACTTCAAAAGCGGCCTCGTCAAGGATGCCGAAAGGCAGATCGTGCACATCGTCGTGGACCCTCGGAATCGGGGCAACGTCGAAAGGACCGAGAGAGACGGGGAAAAGAGGATCTATCTGAAGCACTTGCCGCTGGGGTTCTGGGTCAGCATGGAAAAGTGCGCGAGCGCGCCCTTCGTGGACGACCTGAAGCGCCACGAAGACACCCTCGTGGTGGACCAGACGGGCCCGCTGGTGTTCACGAGCCCCGCGCGTCGGAGCCGATCACATTCCGCACCTCCAAGGTCACCCGGACGGGTTTCCAGTTCTCACGCGGCAGGGTCTTCACCGCGGTGGCGTGCCAGGGGCGCGCTGCGCAAGAAGGCGACGGGGCGGGGGAACAGCGCCCCCCGGGCAGTCCACGGCCAAACCTCCTGGGCACGAGCGGTCCGCAGCCAGACCTTTTTTTCGGTTCTGTGGACTCCCGCCCTGGACCGTCGGCTGTCCCGCGCGCTGCTCCCTCGGCCGACGTCGCCCAGGCGTGATCCTGGACTGCGGCCGCCACGAGATCGGTAACGGCAAGAAGGACGACGACCACTGTTGGCTGGAGCTTTACGCGCTGCTCTCGCGCGCCACGCGCCACGAGGACCTCCTGCTCACGCGGGCGCCGCGCATCGAGTTCTTTGTGGCAGGGCCGCCGGGGGGGTTGCGGAAGCAGCTGGAACAGTTTGCGTCGCGCACGAAACGGTGCAAGAGGGAGGCGGCAGCCCTCGCCAGAGAACTGGGCTTCACCGGGTTTATCCGCGAGGTCTGACCTAGGAAGCGGCCCGCCCGAGCCGCGCCATATCCAAGCTGTCCAACAAGTCGGCCTGGTGCCGCGGACGACCCATGCGCGTCGCTGGGACGCCCCTCGGGGCGACCAGCGTGCGTCCGTGCTGCGCACTGCCCAGCGCCTCGTGCGCCCGTCGTCGCTCTGCCCGGCGGCCAGAGCCTTGCCCGCTCTCAGCCAGCCAGCTAGTTCGCTTTGCTCCGCGCAGCGGACGACAAGGTGCGTTGCTGGGACCCCTTCGGGGCGACCAGCGCGCGTCACGGGGACTCCGCGCTGCGCTGCGCTCGCAGCCTGGGACACAGGAGTGCGCGGGAAAAAATGGGAAACAAGAGGGGGAGGAAGCGGGGGCGATCCACGCGAGGGGCGTGCCGACATGGGCGTCGACATTCATGCACGTAGACTCACTCGCACGCAAACTCATGCACAATCAGACGCACTCGTGCTAAGCCTCACCCGCTCTCGTTACCAGACCTATCGTCTTCTTCCGTGTTGCGTACCCCGCCACGCAACGGCACGCCCATCACACGGTTCTTGGCTGCATAGGGAGCTCCACCGAAGACAATATTCACAACGGCGGTACTCTCACCTGCATGTGGTTGGGTCTTTCGCCAGGCTAATTCCCCCTCCTGACTCGCGGCGTCTGAGAAGTCTTCTGCTGAGAGGGGCAGGCCTGCTCCAAGGGCGGCCAGGCTGTTCAGAAGCCCTCGCGCCTTCCGCGAAATGTTCGGCACCTTTTTGATTCCGAAAACAGAGACGGCTTCCCACAGAGACGGCTTCCCGCGTACATCTGGCGCAGTTCGACGCGAACCCCTGGGTAAATCCGACGTGGCTCTGACTTCAGCTCGGTCGCAGGTTGCCGCGCGAGGCCCCCTCGAGTATCCTCATGGACTAGTGCGTGCAGTCGCGTGGTCGGCCAGCGGGCCACGCCACGGCCAGGATCCAGCGGTCGGGCCGTCTGCTCTGGCACTCCGAGGTCATGTTGCGCCCATCGTGCTTCAGGACCACATCCCCAAAATGATTCCGAGGGCCCAGAAGAGTATCGAGACAGTGTCGAACGAGTATCGCCTCCCAGGGCCCGCCACGCGAGAACCCTCAAGTTTCGGAATGTTCCTGGTGCTCGAAGTTCTTTCTGGTGATCAAGACCAAAGCAGGTTAAAACATCATAAACCACTGCCATAATCCACAGTCGGGCTGTCTGCTCTGGGTCAGAGGCTGGCCTGAACTCGGCTCAACCAGTTGGGTGAGCATTCACGGGGGCCTCTGTGGACTTCCGCGGCGGCCCCATCATAAACGTGACTCCGACTGGGCTTCGTCAAGCATTCGACCACACCTCTGCACTCTTTCGTCCAGATTTCATCCAGGTTCGTACAGAGCTCGTCCAGATGTCGACCAACTCCGACGATATCTGGACGAAATCGCCCAAACCACAGGAGATGTGGGGGACCCTCTGAGGCCCCCCATGAAGGACCACACAAAATCAGGGCTGGCCATCCCCTCCATAGCGTGGGGGGCTCGGTCGGCCTTGGAACATGTCCAGAGGCTTATTGGAGTTTGTGGGGGCTTGCGACCATCTTCTAAGGTTTCCAGCGGGTACAGGGAGAAGCGTAGTCTCGGCAGATGATAGAGCAAAGAGCGAGCGGGACGCTGCGACGCAATGAGTCAGAAGAGGATGAAGCGTAAGAAGACGCTGAACCACATGAGCTGAAACAACGAGCTGGCGATCGCACGCAGGCCGCGCAACATCTACTCAAGTCGAACCGGTAACCCGTTTACGTATGTAGAGGTACCGTGGATTGATCAGCCCGTGGACGTCTTCGAGTCATAAACGTAAGCATGATCAGAAGGCGAAGTGGGATGTCACTGCAGGCCGCGTGCATGATGACACTACGCTAAGGGAAAGCGGACTTACCAATGGAACCCATGCAACTGAAGTGGGCCACTCTCGGGTGGGGGAGAGGGAGGAGGAGAGAGGCAAGAAGAAGCTGGAGGGGGACTTCGAGTCGGGAGCCTTTTTTCCTAAGAAAGGGACGCGCCAGATCAAACAAAAATCATGGCACCCTGGCGACAGAGGACCCTAAACAACATACTTACATAAACAACATCATACTTGAAACTGCATGTGCTTGAAACTGCCCCTAGAAACATAATTGCACAAACTGCACATACGTGAAAACCATACATAATACCATACGGCACACCGAACAATGGGGATACAACATGGGAGATAACATGGGAGACACCCGAACGGCCATAACGGAATCCGCACGGGAGGCCGTACGGGACACTATACGACAAAATCGTCTCGTGTCGACCCCAGCGTTGGTTCCTGACACCGCGAGGATCGTTCAACCTTTAACGATCGGCCGCTCCCGCAATGTCCGATCGTTCAACACCGATCGGTTCCGGGTCGCTGGCGACGTTCAACATTGAACGCTGGCGGCGGGGTCGCCGCAGGTCGACACGACGTGGACCTACCGTACGGGAGAACACACTACCGTGCGGGAAACCAGGAGAGCCCAGAATCGAATCGACAAATCGGATCGGCGATCGAAATGAATCGGATGGGCGGAAATCGGCAGCGAAGTCGGGAAAAGTCGAACCGGCGGAAATCGGGGGGCAAGTCTGCCTCCAATGAGGCATCGGAGGTCAGATCGGACTCCCGAATCGAATCGAACCGGAATCGAACGCCACCGACATCGAGTCCAACCGAATCGGAGGCATCGAAACGAGCCCCGGGAGACCGTGCGGGAAACCAGACGGGCGACGGGGGACCACGCAGGAGAGACCGCACGGGGAGAGCAGGACGGGGGAGAGAACCGCAAGGGGGCACCGCGCGGGGAGACCACGCGGCCGAGCCCGAGCACACCCATGAGGACGTGCGGGAGAGCATGCGGGAGGCCCTGCGGGAGATCGCAGGGGAGATCGTCCAGGGCTGCACCGAAACGTTGTCTTCTGTGTCGTGCTCGTTCTGTTGTCCGCTGTGCGCTGCCTGTTTTTTTTGTTCTGTGCCCCCCCTGCCAAAGCGAAAAACAAAGCACGGCCGAAGTCCAGCGAAACAGCGCTCAGGTCCAGCCCCGCGATCGTGTGCGGGAGAGCCTGCCGGGGAGCAAACCGGAGAGCGCTGGCAAGCGAGGCCATGCGGGCGACCACGAAGGAGACAATGCGGGAGGCCGTGCGGGAGACCATGCGAGGAGTCGTGCGGGGGACCGGCCACACGGGAGACCAGGCGGGAGATCATGCCGCAGGCCTCCCAGGATCTGGGAGGCCTGCAATATAATCACCCACATGGTCTCCCGTGTGGCCTCCCTATGGTATGATCTCCCACCTGGGACCCAACTGGGAGAACATACTATAGTCTCCCACATGGTCTCCCCATAGTACGATCTCCCATCTGGTTTCCCTGTAGGATGATCTCCAATCTGGGACCCAGATGGGGTCGGAGTCGATGGAGTCGGAGGATTGCTCCGCATCGCCAATGCATCGTCCGTGCATCGGCGACGTTGGCGTGAAGAAAACTGAGCTCCGCATCGAACCGCATCGCCGATGCATGGGCGATGCGGCGCGATCCTCCGACAACATCTACTCTGACCCCATCTGGAGCGCGTATCTGTGCTCGCGGCGGTAACCGGCGTTTTTTGTTTTTTTTGGGGGGGGGCGAAGTGTGGTGTGGGGGGTGGGGGGGGGGGGCAGAACGTAACGCCACCCCCCCGCCGTGCGCGCGGTGGCAGTACTGCGGACGCACTGGGGGCCGGAGCGTTACGTTATGGGGTGGGGGGGGTGGGGGGGGGGCTGGGGAGCCATAGCGCGCGCAATGGCCCCAGCAACAGAGAAACAGGCTTCTGGGAGGGCTGGACAGAGGGCGTATCGCACGGGGGACTTTCTACGGGAGGCCACGTGAGGAAGAAGACCCGACGGGAGACCACGCGGGAGACCATGCGAAAGGCCATGGTGAATACCGCACGGGAGATGACACCACACGGGAGACCAAGGGGAAGACCACGGGCCACCGACTCCAGATCCGGAAGGGCTCGAACCCAGGCCTCGCAGGCAACACGTGCAGGACCTTCACAGACCAACTGCTCAGATGAGGTCGCCAAAGATCTGAGCGATGCCTTCGTCGGCCGTCTTTCTTGGAAGAAGCAGAAACGCCATAAACATAAATGTTCGGCGTTTATCTGTTTCGATGAGAGAGGTCCTTGGCGCTCCTGGTCAAGAGACCTATCTTGCGTACAATCCCGAACCATTCGCCGATGCTCACCGATTTTGATGATGATGCTGGTCAACACGAGAAAGTAACACTTTCGATTCGCAACGTCCCCCGCGATAGCGAGTTCGGCCTCGCCGCCCCTCTCCACAATCAAGTGTGCGTGTGTGTGTGTGTGTGACCTGGGGATAATAACCGCTCAGGGGGTACGGGGGGAGGTACTTTTCATGATCGGGGGAACGGGGTTATCAGCGAAACCTTCGTCGGCCGCCTTCCTGTCGCACGTGCGGGTTGCGGTCTGCTCCTCTGCGGCCGCTGCGCCGCGAGGGCGGCGCCCCACCCCTGCCGCTGCCGCCGCCGCCGGCCGCACGCCGCTCCGCCTGCTGCGTCAGCGCCCACTGCTGCCGCTGCTCCTCCTCGAGCGCGTGCAGGCGCGTCCGCATCAGCTCCTGACGCCACCCAGGCCCGGGGAACTCTCGCCACGCAGGCACTCCGCCTCCTCCCCCTGCCCCTCCCCTCGCCCCTTCTTGCTCCTCTCCCTCCTCCTGTTTGTCCTCCTCATCCCGCCTCCTGCTCTCCTCATCCCTACGCTCCCTCGTCCTCCTCTTGCCGATCCTTCTCGTCTGTCCGTCTGTTTCTGCTCTCTCCCCCTCCTCCTCCCTCTCCTCGCCTCCTGTTCCTCCTCCTCCCCCTCCCTCCCATCCTCTTCCTCCTCTTTTTCCTCCTCCTCCTCCTCCTCCTCCTCCTCCTCCTCCTTCCCATCCTCCTCTCGGTAATCCAATGTCCGTTTCATCCTCCCCCTCGTCCTGCTCCTTGTGATTTGGTTCATCTCTTTTTTCCTGCTTCGCCCGTTCTCATCATTATTCTGCGACTCGTATTGTGTTTCCTCCTCTGTTCCTCCTCCTCCTCCTGCTGCTGTCCCCTCCCTCCTCCTTAACATGCTCCTCCTTATTTCCAAGGCGACATCGCGAGACACGCATATGGAATTCATCCAGTCTTTCCCTACCTGACAGCTGTCATCGCCAGCGGGCGGGCGCACTGTGTTGGGCGAGCGTTGAAGGAGCGAAGAGAGGCGAGTGGAGGATTAGGCCCGCCATTGAAACCAGGAAGTACGCATCGTCAAACATAAAACAAGCCTGTCGCGGCGTTGAAGGCATGCGGCGTGTGGTGCAGCGGAGATTCTGTCGCACTGTATTCGAAGGTGCTTCCAATCAGGCCCTCCACGTTCTATCCCTGCCTCCGTTGCGACAGAACCGACCCACTCGCCGCGTAAAACATGACCCCCCTTCAGGCTCCCATGCTGGCGTTTGCACGAATGGCATCGCCACCTTCGCCATCAACGTCCATGGTATCGCCCTCGTCCTCCATGCCAGCCATGCTCTTGTTCTTGCACGGTTCCCGGATGGGGACCTTACACAGGTTCGAAAGCAGGCCGCCAAGGGCCTGCGCCGGCTTCAGCAGCTCCCTGGGTCTCTGTTCTTCGCATCGCGCTCGGCGACCTTCTCGCCATCCCTGAAGCAACACATGAAATGTTTAAGGCCATGCTCCGCCTGTGCGTTTCGGAAGGTGGCTCGTACGCCTTCTTAATATCTTTGGATTTCTTGCTATCATTCTGGAATTTGTCGATGTAGCTGTACATGTCGCCCACCTGCTTGTAGCGCTGGAGCGCCATCTGCAGCCGGCTGGCCTTGGACAGCTCGGAGCTTTTCTCCTTGCGGGCCGCCCCGAATTCGACCTTTTCCTCCTGGGACATGCTCCAGGTGTCCTTGGCCTTCTCGAACTCTGTCATCTCGAAGCTCACCTGGGAACAAAAGGCGGCATGAGCATAAACTTCCAGAGCTCCGCGAAAATTTCTCCGATCGGATCGGCGCTGGACCCTCCTCCTTGGCACGCGGAGCCCGCGCGGGGCGCTGCGTCGGAGGCGCCGCCATTGGCGGCCCCAGCGCCACTCCAGGAACTCTTCTGTGGCAGCTCATGGGGGCCTCCCGCACCATCTTGTCGGCCTTGCGAATCGACGATAGTCGACGCTACATCGGCGCTGCCTCATCGACTGCCGGACGCTCGTCGACGCTAAAGACGGACTGAAGACGGTATGCAAGGCTCCCATAACTTGTTGCCGATGAATCCTGCGCGGAGCTCCACCACTTTCTGAGCATGCTGTCTTTTGCTCCACGAGGCTGAGCACCAACCGGTCGGCGGCCACGCCCTGAAGGTCCAGCTGCGACTCCTCCACCAGGGAGGGGGCCGCGACGGTCAGCGCGGCCCTCTCCTTCTTTTTCATCTCCGCGGCGGCGCGCTCGAGCACGTCGCACACCTGTGCCGGGCAGGGATTCGTCCACAGCCACCGCCTGGGACACCGGCGCCCTGGTGCCCCAGCGGGCAGCGGGCGCGGGCGCATGTTGGCCCTCGGGGCCCAGACATGTCCATCAAGGCTGGCCCTAAACGCTGTTGTTCGTTTTGTCTTCGTTTTGCTGTTAGTGCTGCCCCGCCCACTTTTTCCAGCAACTGCCTCCCTTTCGAATCGACAACAAAAACACGGCCGAAATCCGGCAAAACAGCGTGGAGGTCAAGCCCTGATGCCCAAATCCACCCGCCTCGGGTCCTCGCCGTTGCCCGCGGTGACGTCCAGCGTCCTGGGGGCGAAACCCGGCAGGGAGCCAGAGCCGTCGGTTGCGGCGGCGACGGCGAGTTTGACGCGCGAGCCGTCCTGCGGTTTGTGGTAGCCCTGGCCCTCCCCGACCTGATTCTTCATGATGGTCTTGTCCTTCGCAAAGGACACGTGGGCGGTGTCGTAGACCTGCTTCAGCGCGAGAGACGCCGTGGCGCCGTCGGGGGTCTGGTCCCCGAGGGCGTACTCTGCGGTGCACTTGAGGGAGGCTTCCTCGCCATTCTTCATATCCGTGAGGGCCTTGTCGCACGCCTCGCCCAAGGCCCCCAGGGTTTCGGAGCCAATGCCGCACTCGAAATCAAACTTTTCCTCGATCGCCGGCCCGCCTGGTGCCGCTACCCTCATGCTCATGAGCACCTCGCTGTCCATCTGCGGCTTCTTCCAGCCTTCGCCCTCTTTCAGCTGCGTCCTGATCGCACCATGGTCCCCGAAGAGGTCGTCCGTGGACGGCCAGCTCAGCAGCTCCACCTCGAAGACCACTGCGGCGTTCAGCGGGATCTTGGGCGGGCTGCCGCTCTCGCCGTAGGCAAACTCGGGCGCCAGCGTGAACTTGGTAACCTCCTCCTTCTTCATGGTCGCCACGCCACGGTCCCACCCCTTGATCGCCTGGCCCTTGCCCAGTGTGAACTCGAACGGCTTCCCGCGGCCCCTGGAGGAGTCGAATTCGCTGCCGTCGGACTGGAGGGTGCCGACGTAGTGCACGGACACCAGGTCGCCCTTCTTGGGCGTATTGTAAATGCCCGCTGGCGCGTCCGTGATGATCTCTTTCGTGATACCTTCAGAGAGCGGAGGGCGGGACGGCTTCTGCCAGCTGCCAGAGACCGCCTGAGCCAAAATGGCTACGGACAGCATGCCCCTCCTCTTCAGCCTGCGCAGTCTCCTGCCTCTCCTCCTCCCGCCCTCCTCCTCCTCCTCCTCCTCGTCCGCCTCCTCCGCCTCCTCCTCCCTCCCCTCCCCCTGTTGCGCCTACTCACCCCTGGTCCGAGTCCTCCCTCATCCGCCAAGGCTGTTGGCATTTACATCTTCTACCGCTTGTGTTTTCTGCTGCTCCTCTGGACGCCCTGGAGGTCCCCAGATGCTTCTGTAGGCGTTTACTGGCCAACCACAGTCAGGAGAACAACGACCAACTGGATCCTCGATCCCCCTCCTACACCATCCTCCTACACCATCTCACCTGCTAGCTTTTCCTCTTCAACCTCCTTCTCGTCCTCTCTCTTCTCCTTGCTCCTCCTGTTCCTCCACCCCTCTATCCTTATACATAACCCTACCCCTTTGCGTTATCGTTCACACAAAAAACACATTTCCGTGTGACGGATTTAGCAGGGAGACGCCGCACCAAGCCGCAAACATCTATACTTACTCTACGCCCTCCGCGACCGACGCCTAGACGTAGTAAGGAACGACGGCAAGAACGCAAGAGCCTTGAACGCCGAAGACGGCGAGTTGCCAACACCTCGGTGGCTGGACAGTGAAACTCCTCCCCCAGTTTCTCTTCTTTTTCTCTTTCTCCTCGCCGCCCTTCTCCTATGATATTCCTATTGCGCTCCCCGCGGGTAAGCTGATTTTCGTCGGTCGCCCTCGGGGGTGGTCCATCCCAGGGCATCGCAGCCGCCCCGCACAGACCGTTACCTTAGCACGAGGTGAGTGTTGAAAGTAATCACTTCGCGCCCCCCCTCCAATGAGCGGCATAAGCAACCTTAGTAGTAGTAGTAGTAGTAGTCGTAGTAGTAGTAGTAGTAGTAGTAGTAGTAGTAGTAGTAGTAGTAGTAGTCGTAGTAGTAGTAGTAGTAGTAGTAGTAGTAGTAGTAGTAGTAGTAGTAGTAGTAGTAGTAGTAGTAGTAGTAGTAGTAGTAATAGCAGTAGTAGTAGTAGTAGTAGTAGTAGTAGTAGTAGTAGTAGTAGTAGTAGTAGTAGTAGTAGTAGTAGTAGTTAGTAGTAGTAGTAGTAGTAGTAGTAGTTAGTAGTAGTAGTAGTAGTAGTAGTAGTAGTAGTAGTAGAAGTAGTAGTAATAGTTGTAGTAGTAGTAGCAGTAGTAGTCGTAGTAGTAGTAGTAGTAGTAGTAGTACAAATCGTAGTAGTAGTCGTAGTCGTAGTCGTAGCAGTAGTAGTAGAAATGCTAATGATCGTAGTAGTAGTAGTAGTACTAGTAGTAGTAGTAGTAGTAGTTGTAGTAGTAGTAGTAGTAGTAGCTGTAATAACAGTCATACTGGAAGTAGTAACGGAAATAATAGTACTGGTAGGACTAGTAGTCGTAGTCGTAGTAGTAGAGGTAGTAGCAGTAGTAGTAGTAGTGGTAGTAGTAGTAGTAGTAGTAGTAGTAGTAGTAGTAGTAGTAGTAGTAGTAGTAACAGTAGTACTAGTCGAAGTAGTAGTAGTAGTAGTAGTAGTAGTAGTAGTCGCAGTGGTAGTAGTAGTAGTAGTAGTAGTAGTAGCAGTAGTAGTAGTAGTAGTAGTAGTAGTAGTAGTAGTAGAAGTAGTAGAAACAGTAGCAGTAGCAGTAGTAGTAGTAGTAGTAGTAGTAGTAGTAGTAGTAGTGGGGGTAGTAGCAGTAGTAGGCGTAGAAGTAGTAGTGATAGTGGTAGTAGTAGTAGTAGTAATAGTAGTAATCGCCGTCGCAGCAGCAGCAACAACAGCAGCAGTAGTATTAGTAGTAGTAGTAGTACTAATACTAGTAATAGGAATAGCAGTAGTCGTAGTAGTAGTAGTAGTAGTAGTAGTAGTACAAATCGTAGTAGTAGTGGTAGTAGTAATACCAATAGTAGTCATAGTGGTAGAGGTCGAAGTAATGGTAGTAGTGGTAGTAGTAGTAGTAGTAGTAGTAACAGTCGTCGTCGTCGTCGCAGTCGTAGTCTCAGTAGTCGTAGTAGTAATCGTAGTAAAAGTATGGGTGGTAGTAGTAGTAGTAGTAGTAGTACTAGTAGTAGTAGTGGTGGTAGTAGTAGTAGTAGTAGTAGTGGTGGTGGTAGTAGTAGTAGTAGTAGTAGTAGTAGTGGTGGTAGTAGTAGTAGTAGTGGTAGTAGTAGTAGTAGTAGTAGTGGTAGTAGTGGTAGTGGTAGTGGTAATACTAGAACTAGTAGTAGTAGTAGTAGTAGTAGTAGTAGTAGTAGTAGTAGTAGTAGTAGTAGTAGTAATAGTAGTAGTAGTAGTCGTAGTAGTAGTAGTAGTAGTAGTAGTAGTTGTAGTAGTAGCAGCAGCAGCAACAGTAGTAGTAGTAGTAGTAGTAGTAGCAGTAGTAGTAGTAGTAGTAGTAGTAGTAGTAGTAGTAGTAGTCGTAGTCGTAGTAGTAGTAACAGCAGCAGCACTAGTAGTAACAGGGGAATGCGTATAGTAGTGGTATCAGTATTACTGCTGCTGCTACTACTACTACTACTACTGCTGCTACTACTACTACTACTACTACTGCTAATTAGTTATCGTAGTGGTGGAAGTGAAAATAATATCCGTAGTAGTGTTTAGTTGTAGTTGTCGTTGCGTTACTCGCCGTCACAGCCGCGAGAGTATAAATAGTTGTAGCGGTAGTACAATAATTGTAACAGTGGTCGCAATAGTAGAAATAGAAGTGCTTGTGGCAACAATCCTGAAATCATCCTGGCGGAAGACCCAAGCATATGCCGTTGTGGGTACCGCAATTGTGAATATCTTCTTCGGTGACGTTCCCTGTGGGGCCACGAAGCGCTGTACTGGCTTGGTGAAACGCAGGGAGCAAGAGCCGTTTTGGGTGATGGCGGACGCATGCGGGCGGTGCCACTGGGACCTTCCGTGGGCCCCACGCAGCGCTGTACGGGGTGGGTGAAACGCAGGCAGCAAAGGATGTGCTGGGTGGTGGGGGGACGCATGCGGGCGGTGCCATTGGGACCTTCGGTGGAGCCCCCATTGGGGCCACGAGGCGCTGTACTGGAGCGTGCGAAACGCAGGGGGCAAAAACTGTGCTGTGTGGTGGCGGGCGCATGCGAGCGGTGCCACTGGGACCTTCGGTGGGGCCCTCTATGGGGCCACGGAACGCTGTACTGGTTAGGTGAAACGCAGGGAACATTGGCTGTACTGGGTGGTGGCGGACGCGTGCGGGCGTTGCCGCTGAGACCTTCGGTGAAGCTCCCTGTGGGGCCACGAAACGTTGTACTGGGTGGGTGAAACGGGGGGAGCAAGGGTTGTGCTGGGTGGTGGCGGACGCATGCGGGCGGTGCCACTGGGACCTTCGGTGGGGCCCCCTTATGGGGCCACGAAGCGCTGTACTGGGTGGGTGAAACGAAGGGGACAATTGCTGTACTGGGTGATGGCGGACGCATGCGGGCAATTCCACTGGGACCGTCGGTGGAGCTCCCTATGGGGCCACGAAGCGCTGCACTAGGTGTGCGAAACGCAGGGGGCAAGGGCTGTGCTGGGTGGTGGCGGACGCATGCGGGCGGTGCCGCTGGGACCACCGGTGGAGTTCCCTAGAAGGCCACGAAAAGGTGTACTGGGTAGGTGAAACGCAAAAAGCAAGGGCAGTGCTGGGTGGTGGCGGACGCATGCGAGCGGTGCCACTGGGACCTTCGGTGGAGCCCCCTATGGGGCCACGGAACGCACTACTGGGTGGGTGGAACGGGGGGAGCAAGGGCTGTGCTGGGTGGTGGCTGACGCATGCGGGTGGTGCCTCTGGGACCGCTGGTGGAGCTCCCGATGTGGCCACGAAGCGCTGTAATGGTTGGGTGAAACGGAAGGAGCAAGGGCTGTGTTGGGTGGTGGCGGACGCATGCGGGCGGTGCCACCGGGACCGTCGGTGGTGCTCCCTATGGGGCCACGAAGCGTTGTACTGGCTGCGTGGAACGCAGGGAACAAGGGCTGTGCTGGGTGGTGGCGGACGCATGCGGGCGGTGCCACTGGGACCCTCGGTGGAGCTTCCTATGGGGCCACGAAACGCTGTGCTGGGTGGGTGAAACGCATGGACGAAGGAGAATAGGAGGAACGTGGGGACCGTCTCTTCAAAACGAGGACCCAACAACACAGGTTGCTTGGGAAAAAGTAGGGGTAGTAGTGGTAGCAGACGTATTAGTAGCAGCGGTCGTCGTCGTCGTAGTAGTAGTAGTAGTAGTAGTAGTAGTAGTAGTAGTAGTAGTAGTAACAGTTGCCGTAGCAGCAGGAGAAGAAACATACGTAGTAGTAGCAGTAGTAGTAGTAGTAGTAGTAGCCGTAGCAGTAGTAGTAGTAGCACCCGTAAGGCAAGTAGTAACAGTACTCGTAATAGCGGTAGCAGTCGTAAGTCTAACACGAATAGGACAAGTAAACGTAGTCGTACTAGGAGTCATCGTCGTAGAAGTCGTAGTCGTAGTAGTAACTTTTGCAATAGTAGTAAGAATAGTAGTCGTCGCCGTCATGGTCAGACTCGTAGCGTGCAAGTAGAAGGCGAAGTAATAAAATCAGCAGTAGCTGTAATAGTTACAGCGCTACTGGTAGTAAAGGTTGTGTAATAAAGATGGTCGTTGGCAAATCTGTAAACAAAAACCGTAAGAGTGGTAGTAGTAGTCGGAATATTAGTAGTGGCCGCGGTCGTAGTAGTAGTAGTAGTAGTAGTGGTACTACGACTACTACTACTACTGGGTAGCAGTAGTAGTAGAAGCGGTAGTCGTAGTAGTAACAGTAGTACTACTGATACTAGTAGTTGTGGTAGTAAAAGTAGTAACCGTCGTCGTAGCAGCAGTAAGAGTAGGCACGTCGTACCTGTAATAGTAGTAGTACTAGTAGTAGCCAAGATAGCAGTAGTAGTAACACTAATAACGCTAGTGGTAGCGATGCTAGTCGTAGTGCTAGTAGTTTTAGTAGTGGCAATGGTGCGATCAGTGGTAGCATCACGGGTGGACATGCTGTAAATTTGA